CTATATATTAATGCCATTGAATTGAATACAGTCTGTGGTCTCCGCGTCTTCAGAACCCGACACAATCAAAATGTCCACAAATATTGAGTCCAACTCTTTGTCCAAACGAAGACATATTATTGCCATTCAATCCAAAGTCATCGGAAAGAAGAAGACTTTAATCAGACTATTAGAAAATGGAGGCACTGTTGAGGAAGAGGTCATTGATAATTACAACTGTTGTATTAGTGATGAAGACTTATTACGTTTGGTAAATATTGGACTTCAGGTATGATTTGATTTAATTAGAATTATTTTCAATAAATTTATTTACAATTAAAAATATTATTATTCTTTAGATTCATAAACATTATGGAAACGCAAGAGATATAGAATGGGGTCTAAAAGGGGGCCAAATATTTATGCTTCAGTCGAGACCCGTAACTAATTTAGACAATTCTTACACCGATTACGAGATTATGCATGAATTGGATTCTTCACATCCATCTGAGTTTGAGATTTACTCCCGGGCTCATTGGGGCGAAACATTTCCCGGAGCCTCGTCTTGGATCTGTATGCAGTGGTTTTGGGCCAATAAACCTTATTTCTTCGTAAGATTACATTAATTATTAAATTAAATATAAATTGTAAAATAAATATTTATTAATAATATTTGCCTATTTATAGCGTCAGGATATACTAAACGGTACGGCGACTGATGAGGATTACAATCCGTTCGCTGAAGTAATGGGCATTCAATACAATCAAGTGATGTTTGATCTACAGGGTGTAAGTCAACTCGATTAACAGAATTGATTAACTATTAACTGTAATTACAATGTTTTGTGCAGGGTATATTTAAAATGTTTGCGGGTTATCCGGACTCAAAACGTGCAGAGACTGCGGTATTAGCAAAGTTTGGACATCACATCGACGACAAAGATGTCCTCCAATTGTTTCGGAGGCAGGGATTGGAGGCCAAAAAGCCATCCCTTATGGGATACGTCCGGTTGTTTCGCTTTGTTATTCATTCCCTACTCTTTGGACCGAAAAACTTGATTAAAACAAAAGAGGAGATAATCGAGAAGAATGGATACGATTTGGTCGACATTTTGAAACAAGAATCTAATAGTAAAGAGATATTCACTACAATTTTGGACAATCAGTACTTTATATTTAACAATGCTTTAAAAAATCATGGCCCGATTGGCATTGGATTAGCGTTTAATATTAATATTTTGAAAGCAATTCTTAAAACTTCAACCGGTAATCTATTATTAAATAGTTTTACTTTTATTCCATAATTAATTATAAATACTCACTCCGATCTAGATAATAATAACGACGTTGAGGATGATTATAATCTAATGGTATCGTCGGCTACGGATGTAATCAGCGCTGAAGTGCCAAAAATATTGGCTGAAATCGCAAAGTCTATTAGAGATAAGCAATGGTTCAGTCAATTGAGTGATGAGGAAGCGCTTCAAGTGCTACAAACTGGAACCGATGAGTCTTCACAAAAGTTTAGATACTTTATTGAAAGACACGGACACAGAGGGTATCGGGAATTGGATCCCATGTATAAGCCATGGAAAGGCAATCCAATGCCTTGTATTAAGATTATAAAAGTATAATTAATTACAAAATATATTTTTCTGTTATTATAAATATTTGCATTAATTGTAGACATTATTATTATCGGGAAATGAATCACAATTTGGGGCAAAAAGTGAAAAATCTGTCGACAAAGTTATCAACGAATTAAAGACACCGTTGAGTCCTTTAAAAAAGTTACTAATTAAATATTTATTGCTTCCGTGGACTCGAAGAGGGATTGGATATCGAGAGTTATCCAAGTATTGCATGATTTGGATGAATAACAAATGTAACGAAGGTTTTAGATATTTGGCTCAAGAAATGACTAAAGAAGGACTCATACCATCGGTGGACACATTTTTCTACTTGACTATCACTGAAGTGGAAGCGCTATGTAATGGACAAAGAGATCCATTGATATTCTCGAGAGTAAGACAACGGCGAAGACTTTACCCTCGAATGGATAAATACAAGTTCGAAGAGTTTATTAAAGGACCCGAAATGAAACCCAGAAATGTATGCA